ATAAAAGGTGTACTGTTCATTCAAATTTGCAATGAATTATTTTCTTTCCCCTCCCTAGACTGGTGAAGCCCATGGAGCAGAAACAAAGGGACATTTTGTTTTTGCATCACACCTGTATAAAGAAGAATCTTTGATAAAAAATGAGAAATTGTATCGTCAAAATATAAAATGTACTTTTTTGTTTCTGATTGATTATAGTCATTGTAGGACTCGTTTTAATGAAAAAAGGAGAAAAAAAAATTTTTTTTTTCATGTATTAGTCTTTAAACACATGCATGCAGTGAACAGTCCTTATTAACCTGTGTAATAGTTAACTGTTTTCATCTTTCTTTTGTATCAAATCTACAAATTAAAAAAAGTGTTTCTGTTCATTGTACCATCTGTCTATTGAGGAACTTGTAAAATATTTTGTATATAGTCATTTGATAACAGGAGACATTAAAATGAACAGGTCTGAGTTACTGTCTTGCACACAGGCTAAGACTGCAGTAATAGGCAGCACACATGAATGACCTAATTTGAGAACAAAAGTGCATTTTTATGCAAGTAAATAGTTATTTATAGTATAATTAATTTGACTTAAAGGGTAGACGTGTGTAGTGGTAGCACAACAGCAATGAATAGTTAAACAAGGTTTATCAGTTTTATTTAAAAAAGTTTTATTGAATAGGTTTCCTAAAATAATACAAATTTTCCCTGCATGTTATCCGGTGTCACACATTACACAAATGTTTCCTAGCCATTTCCCAGTTATTTTTCCAGTGGAGCATAATTCAACAATTTCTCAATAAGATCCACGTGAGAGAGAAGCATCCTCCGACAGCAGTACCTCTTCAGGCCCAGGGCATCGAGTGCATCACTAAAGATGGAGACATTAAGTAATGTTAGTGTCCAATAGCACACAATTATGAGGGGAGATGCCTTAATGGTCTCAGATTAAAATAATTTATACTATTTAGTCTTAAAATGAATCAACATTTTAAAACAATTTAGTTTAAGGTGTTTTTTAAATAAAAAAATATAACATGACACAACAGGAACTACAAAAAAAATTACAATGCAGAACATTAACACCAGTTAACTCACCCTTCAGTATACTCAGCCTGAAGTAAACCAAGGTAGGCTTCCCATTTGTTTCCCACAATCTTCCCACAAGTGAAGCACCTCACGGGGATTATCATTGTTAGACACCTGAAAGAGACACAAAAATAAATAAATTAACGTCATTTAAATTAACGTCATTTTCTGAGGTATGATATGTCTTGGTTATTCAATAAAGTGTCTCAGTTTACCAAACAGGTTGACGAATATTAACTACGTGATGTAAACGTTTGTTTAGCTAGCATCCATAGAGCTGTGTTGTCTAGCCGTTAGCCTAGACCGGACGAAGACTTTCTCTCTTATCTTTATACTTCATGTTCCATGAATGATGTCACGGCTGATAAGATACTAAATATTGATATCTACGTGACATACCACAACACCCTAGAGTATATTATGTTAAAGCTAGCCTATTATGCCACATGAACTAGCATACAGCTAATTCTGGTAGCCGTAACATCCTTCCAAGATACGAGTTCACTCATTTTTTTTAGTCAACTCAAAACGCACAAACAAAAATAATACATTGTATTCACTTACAATTCCCAGCCTCGTTAGTATGTTACAGAAAAACTATAATTATCTGGGAGAAAACAATCTCAACACGCCGCGATAGTTATCCTTTCGCTCGCCGTAGCAACGACTTCCGGTCTGATTCGCCAAAATAAAAGCGCAAGTTTTTTCTTTGTCCCCGCTAACCCCTCCCATGACGGCCTAAATTAGTCAGACGTGTAAAAAAATAGAGCTTGGAATTAATTCTCAATGGTATAAATATAATGCGCAGTGCAATAAAAATAGACCCCACATTTAATCAGAATCACAATTTAGTCATTCATTTATAAAATAAGCAGCTCCATTGTGTATGACATTTCTAGAACTGCATTCAGTTTGGTTAACCCAAATATCCCTCCTGAGAGACAGATAGCCAACGCCACGTCAGCAGATAATGGTTTTGTGGGTCAGTACAAATATTAAATATGCAGAGAAAATAACCACATGCCACACATTAAACAATGTATTATCATTTAATATCATTAAATCAATTGCTTTTAGGTACTGGTAATAAGGTAAAACCGTGTATCCAAATGTCAGGAAATGTATCCATCAAAACTGGCAAATCTAGATGAACATTAACCTTTACAGACAGGACAAATCAGTCACACCAATTCACTTGAATGATCAAAAATACTCACTTTGGCTGGTTCACTGTCTTTAATAAGCTTGAATTTTAATCTCTTTCTTTTTACATTTAAGTGATTGAGGTTGGAGAGAAGGGTGCAGAAGGAAGATATGATCAAATAATAAAAATATTTATAAATGTATATTATATCCATCATTATCATTACAGTCACCATGATAAATATCATTGCCATCGGTAATATCATACAGTAACACATCATCTATGTAATTTAATTTGCTACAGCACATATGCTAAATGAGGAGTCCTACCTGAATTATTGCATTTATACGCTGTTGAAATTATGAAAATAGGAATTTACATTTATTTGTATTTTTTTCTTTGAGTACACTGTTTTGTACAATGTAAGGTGAAATTTATTTTTGTGTTGGCATACTATCTTTTGGACATGATAAGGGAAGTTGATTGTTGGATGCTCATATATTTTTGGTCGGAAATGTGTTGAAATTACACATGCTGTGTGTCTGAGCTATCTTTCTACTTTGAAACGAGGGGCACAAGTTGAACATGTCTGCAGTTGCACAGGTGAGTTTGTGCACAGATAGCATTTTTGACAGATTTCTCCCCCGCTTTGAGTGAAAAATGACATGAAAAGAATTTCTACTTTCTATTATTATGCTTCTAGAACTGCAAGTTATTTTCATGACTTTTTTTAGGTTAATGATAAAACACAAAATGAGCGGTGTAAAGACAAAACGGCATTGACATCAAACTGATACAGCAAGACTAATCAGCTTGTGTTAATAGTAAAATGTAAGAAGTAAACAGAGAAAACTACTATTGTTGGTGTTTAGCAAGATTTGAGTGTTTTTTACTTTTATTTTTTCATCTTTTTAGATTATGGGATTTTAGCTGTTCCTCTGTACATTCTGGTTATTTGCCTAAAAGCAATACATTAAAGGGAATATGTTAAGAATAGGATAAATTACACCACTGAATTAAACCAAAAACACTGGCCTGTATGTTTGGGTGAAAACACTGAATAAGGTCATTGTTTGTAGACAAAAACAAGCAGCAATAAGTCAGTTTGCCACATTTTGATTGTGTTAAATGCAGATTATTTAGCAAATTCTCACTCAAAGTGGACAAAATCCACACCTTTAATAGTGGCTACAGTCTACTAAAATGAATGAATCAGTGTTGGGTCATCCAACTTCTACCAGAACACATGCTCGTAGTTAACCTCAACATTACTGAATATAAATCTTCCTGGGTAGATGTTTTCACTGTGCAGCTGTTCTTTTACCTGCTCTTTCAATTCTGTTTTTTTTATCTAAAAGTAAGATAAAGACCTAGAACTGTGATTTCCCAAGAACATTATGAATACAGTATTTAGATTTTCAACACCTTTAAGCAATGTGAACTACGCTTATTCTTTTGGTGCAAGAAAGCGCAAATATTGCAAATTCATGTTGATATTTGTGAAGGTGATCAAAATAAAATAAAGCAGATACAGCTACATTTAGAAAGCTTAGGCTGTCAAACTGTAACGTGTGCTTCTTTTTTTCTTTCTTCCTATATTGTTTTTCTAAATTAAATACTTACATTTCTTATACAGTGTTGCAACCTCATGCATATACTGAGTATAATTATGCTCCATGTACAGCTTTCATAAAGATTTACCGTAAATGGGTTACTACAAATGAGAGCAGGCAAAAAAAAAAGTGTCTCACTTTTGCCCATCTAAACCGGAATAGTCTGTGAACCAGTTAATGCTATTTTATTATAATTTGGTTTTATTTTCTTCTTGCCAGCAGCAACACCCCCAGCAAGATGGCTCCTGCAGCGATAACAGCACCACCTATGAGAAACGGTTTGAGGTGTTCCAGAGAGTCTGTGCCAGAGGCCACAGCCTCATCCTCTGCTGCTGCTGATTCAGCTCCTCCATCCTTGGAAAAGGMGGGATTCGCAGGCTCGGGGGCTGCAGGGGTAGGTTCGGTCTTGCGTGGTGCGGCTGGCTCCTTCTTCTCTGCTTTAGATGCTGCCTTGGGCGCCGGAGCCCCGGACTTGGCCTTAGCTTCCATAGACTCAGACAAGGACACAGGTGTGGTCTGGTCAGGAGGAGTCTTTATAAGATCAGCTTTGTGCTGCTTCACTGAGAGAGAGAGAGAGAAAAAAGGCAGACACGGCCAGATTATCCTTCTAATTTAAGATCCTTCATCATATTATCTGCTCTGATGAGCATAACCAGACTGAAATATGAACGAGGCCCTGATATTCATCTGTTTGATAGAGCAGTGAAGCAGTAGAGCCTTAACTGTGACCTTGGAACAAGATGACATTGATGTGAGCTCTCCAATGCTCAAGAGGGACGTGAAAATGTTTATTTTGGTCACAGCTGCTGTGACATAATCACAAGATGAAGGAATATTCACATCCAGAGCAGCTTGCTGTGTAACCCATTTTTATGGCACAATCAAGCAATTTAGAAATGAAGTCTGGAGCTGCAGAGCTTACTGACAAGAAATATTTAAATCTTTTCTTTCACCTCAATGCAAGACTAGGCTAGATGGAAAAAATAAAGATTTAATCAATTTCTGTACCTTGCATTCTGTGCACCTACTATAAAAGCTGCTAAATCATATGTGCTACTATGGATGGCAAAATGGAGGAGAGAACATGACTGTGGTGAAAAGAAAAGCAACAAAAACAGGGTTAATGAGGAGGAATAAATTCTGCATAAAATGTGTGGATCATAGCATCCTGAATGTTACAAAATGTAGGCTGCAGAAATATTTACTGAAATGTCTCCCATTAAATCTCACCCTGAAATGATAAAAGAAAAGAAAATCTGGATATTGTTTACCTTTCCCGACACCTCTGTAGAGAATCGAAGAATAATAGATGGAGATGGAGTCAGAGCTGTCTCTGGAAGTTGGAAATGTCCTTTAATATTGGAAAATGAGAGACAGCGGAGAGATGGAGGGCACTGAAAACAGGAGGGAGGAGAACGAGAAGAAGAGGAGGAGAGACAGGACCGTACCATCTGGAGATCTGAGGAGGGGGAGTCTGTTTCTGGATTCTTTTCATCTCATGCTTGTTTGGTTACAGTAAGGATTGTCACATATATTGGATTGAGTATGTATATATA